AAAAAAAAAAAAAAAACAATGACAGACTGTAACGGGGATCATAAGAGTCACAGTAGGAACAAGGCCTAGATCTCGAAGTGTGCGAGATACCAGACTAACTGCATGCTGGGAGTTTCCACTCACCCAGGATGTCCTCCGCTCCCTCCACGAGGACACATCCCATATAAGGCAGCAGCAAGTACCTGCGGCGGTACCGATCCTGCCCCAGAGACACAGCTCGCATGGAATGAGACGACTGCTGCAGCTTCTTGCGGAAAAACACTTGACGCTGAGAGACAAACAATAATAATCTGTTACTCAAAATAAAGAGCAGCCAACAGCTTTTACTTTTAGAACTTCAAAAGGTCAAAGGTTTGAAATTAATTTGTTTGTTTCGCATAACTCTAAAAACCTTTTGAAGCTGATTTTCCAATCTGGATTGAATAAAGTGCTATATAAATAAATAAATAAAAAAAGGCTTATGTTTAAATGTTCAGAATCATTACAGCAGCCAAATAAATAGATATGCATTAATTTCTTTACAAAAATAGATATTGTTTTAACTGACTGGATAATGGAAAAGCAGTGGAAAATTGTGTCTAAACTTTTGACTATTGATGCAATGAATAAAATTTATAACCAAAATCTAAACTTCTGGACTCACTGGAACTAAACACAAACAATTCTCATCTTAAATCAGCTTTTTTGGAGTAAACATCAATTCTATTCTAATCCGTTCTAATATTAATAGATTTTTTAAGTGAATACAAACAAACTTCCTTCAATTGGTGTAACTTCACAATAGCATATATGCTCTGACTCATTTTCAAACACGTACAGAACTGTACAGAATGAACAGTGTTATTAAGCCTGTCAGTGTTGATCAAATGTGAGAAATTCTGAACAATCTCCAAAATGTCACTTCAGATGTTTTTGGAGGATCCCTATCTACATCTGTCTAGATATTTTACCTTGGTCAGTTTATCAATCTGACGCTCCAGCTCAGCAACACTGCAAGAATTGGGACTCTCAATCTGTGAGAAAACAAAAGTATAAAATATTAACACACAGGTTACAAAACAGTTAAACCAGGTAAACCCTCTGAACAAACCTTTTTAGTTCTTAAAGTAACCCCTGACATTTAATCGAATATTTAGCAACACATTTTCACGTTCACATTTCTCTGGTGTTGGTTAATGGTCAAATGACATTCAGGTGAACAAAATATTTTTTTTTTCTGTTTTATTCAGAATTTTTTTAATATTTATTTGAATTTTTACATTATTTATGATTGAATTCATTATTAGCTTTTCATTCATTTACAAACCCCCTGCAGCTCTCTCATGAATCCCTGTTTGGGAAACCCTCGATTGTGGCTCATTTTTGACAGCCTCCTCACATTTGAGGTCAAAGGATTTTTCATTTGACTCTTGAGGAAGTCGAGATCCAGCCCAGTTCCCTGAACTGATAGCACTCACTCAGGAACTGTTCTTGATTAATTACATCATTTCACAGAGTAGCTGCAGTCAGTACGCCGTTTCTCTTTCATGAACCAATTTTAGCACAAGCACAGCTTAACTATAGCTTGAAACCACTGACATGCACTGCTCTAAATGAACTGTAATGATTGTAATCCATAAGCACAGCTCTGGTTTGGCAGGCAGAGGTTCTGTACCTCCGTGTGTTTGGGTTCCTCTTTGGCTTTGCGGCGGCTCCCTCTCTCCAGCACGCAGCTCTCCTCGATGCTCTCCTCCTCAGCCACTCCCACACGAGCACTGCGCCGGCGCTCCTCGAAGCACAGCTCCTCCTCCGGACGGCCCGTCTTACGCATCAGCGCAGCCTTCAGTCTGCTCAGAAACACATTTTTGAGAATGACGAAGCCAATCACAGAAGAGCTGCTTTCACACCTGGTCCAAACCAGATTTCGATTTCACCCTCCTCGCACATGCACACCTCTTATTTTAGCGTCTGAACCGCAGTATGTTTGTGTCATCAATGTGAGTAACTCGATAGCAATTCAGAAAGAAATTCTAGTGGTCGCCCAATATATTGCCAAGGCTGATATATGACCAGCGCTCTCTCCTACCCTCAATACCACGACTGAGGTGAGACTCTTGAGCAAGACACTGAGCCCCCAACTGCTCCCCGGGCGCCGCAGTATATGGCTGCCCACTGCTCCGGGTGTGTGTGTGTGTGCACATGGATCGGTGAAATGCAGAGCACAAATTCTGAGTAAGGGACACCATACTTTGAGTAAGGGACACCATACTTTGAGTATGGGACACCATACTTGGCTACACGTCACTTATTTGAATAAAATATGACTCCCATCCCAATGCACAAAGACTTGCCAGTTTGCTGAGTGCACTTTTGGTTACAGTGTTTACTTTTTATTCATATTTAACAATTTCTTTATTTCTGAAAAATACTATACACCTTATTTTTCCAACTTTTTTTTTTTATTTTTTTTTTTATGTTTCTGGCTTCCAGTGTCATCCACTTCCAGCTATTTTCAGCTGTATAAAACAGTTTGTTTTGTTGCTTGATATTGCAAACTGGTGTGTCTATCCATATTATTTTAATGTGTTGTCTTAATTATAAACACACTGGGTTGTAGCACAAACAATTTGACCGCACTTTGTTATTCTTCTCGTTATTTCCCTACTGCAGCTAATGAACCGGAAGTCTCGCACATTCACAGAAAACAGCTTACATCCACATAAGGTGGAATATTGAATTACACAATCAAGAAGCTGCCATCTAAATAAATCTCTTTATTTTTCAGATTTATTTTTTATCATGTAAATTTTTTTTCATATATATTCATTTTAATAGCGATGTAACGATTCACTCAACTCACGATTCGATTCACGATTTTGATTTCACGA